CGCCGAGGGCTTGCCGCCTGCAGGCTGGAAATCAATGTACTCGCTGTCAGGCGCAGACGCGACTTGGGTCGTGCAGTACGCAGCCACGCGATCCGTGGCGTTGCCCACGGAAACGCTGAACGATACATTCAACTTTGCCAAGTGAGCCAACGACGTGGCCGACACAGTGATGGAGTCGGTGGTTTCGGCGAGACGGCGGCCAGTCATGGGGAACTCACACGCGTTCAAGTGCTCCGACATGCACGCGTCGGCCACTTGGTGCATGTGATGCGTCGCGCCCATCCACGCAGGTGACTTGGAGGCTTGGGCGGACCCGAGAGCAACGACAAAGAGCGGCGCGAAGAGCTTCATGCTGCGTGGGGGTTAAATGGAAAATGAGGTTCCCAGACCACCACCGTGGCGCACACTGCTTTTGATTGCTAGGAGTGCTGGCTGGGATGCAGTTGGTCGTCGACCAAGTGTTTTTGGTTTGGCGTTGTGTGGGGTTGTATTCCTCGACGAATGGGTATTTTCCTACATGGTGTTGAAACGGGCATATTGAATAGTTTTGCTCTCCGCCAATCGTGAGAAAATGGAGGGTCGTTTCGCTGTCAATGAGGAAAGTTCCTCATTGTGACGCTTGATTCGCCGATTCAGCGGGATATTTCCAACGCAGTACCAACCGTCGATTCGCATGTTTGGTTTGGAAGTGACTGCCACTATTTTACAGCAACAGGATCTCTAGCAGTCTCCAGGTTGTGGCAGTGTGTGGTACGCGATGTCGTCGCAGATGCCTCCGCCACGATGAGGTAAACGTCATGGTTGAAACGGGAAAGGGGTCATCTCCCTTGACTTCTTCACAACCCACCGGCTGACGTGGGGGGTCGTGCACAGCGACCTCTGCATCCCCATCCAAGGCCACCAACACCACAAAAAGCCCAGGACACGGGGTTTCCCGGAACCCTCTGCTCGGGGCGCTGCTGTCCGGCTTCACGCCACAGCCGATGCAGTTGGCGCTCAACGCCGAGTTTACATCAACATTCGCGGAACCATTTTCTATTGTTTACAAGCTCCATGTCCATAGCGCTACTGAGTTGCGCCTGATGTCTTTGCTCTGCGGCGAAGGCAACAAGAGGCCGTGGCTTGCAACTACGACCGGCCAACCTCGGCCATGTCGTTTCAAGTTCAAACTTGGTTTCTCCACAATCGCGAGTCTGACTGGCTCGACCGTGGCCTTTCATGATATGTACCACACCTTTCGCAACGGCTTCTTGCCGACTTGATACAATTCCCATCTGCGTTCGCGACCATCCTCGACGCACACGACTTGGCCGGGTCTGTCTTGGATTATCAGAGTGATATAGATGTACAAGCATGTGGTTCCGCTTATGCTGCAGCCTGACGCGATTGCCACGATGACACGAGCAGCAACTCGCGTTCGCCCCATGATTCCACTTGCGCCCCGGCACGGCCACGTCGTGCCCCTCCGACGCCCCCTTCCGCACAATCTAGAGCTCGCCCTGTTGCTGGCGCTCCAGGGGCTTCCCAATGCAGCCCCAGTCGTCGAGACCAGCAGTTGATGTAAATTAAACAATACAGTACTCCGGAGTATACTCTAAATAAAGCAAAATGTCGTTCCGCTGTCATGAATTGTCCATTCCGGCGTCTTGAAATATCATCCGTCCCCCGGCGGCATGGCACAAGAGCATCCGTTCTGCCAGGCTTGGGGCCCCTCCCATGCACATACATAGCAAGCAACCAGTCCTTTTGGACGCTGTGTTGGAGGACCACCCTGCAGGGATTCATCGTCATGGTCCTGGCGCAAGAATTATGCCATCCCTTTCGTATGAGTCAGGGGTTGCGAAAATCCTCCACGGTGTGCAGTCGACAGTGACTCGCATGGGCCGTTATTCCACTGCTTCATGGCACAGCCGTTCATTCCTCACCAACGGTAGGCTCTCGCGGCACCAAACAGGTCAAACATACGTTGAACAGTCGCTACATGGACTGTCGTTTTCTGTGTCCTATAGCGAGCGCTCCTTTGCGACCGCAAAGATCGCCTTCGCTGATGGCCGCAAGCGCCTACTTCGTCAACGTTTTGAGATGCAAAGGATCCGGCTTTACAACATTGGCTGGTGGGGCATCTACGATGTGGTAGGCTTACGAAAGAGCACAGCGCTTCTTTGGCAGCACCCGCAGGAGAATCGATTCGTCGTGTCCCCTTGACACGATTAACAATCTGCACAATCGTCCCTGAAGATAAAGCGAAGGTAGCTTATACCAGTGATCGGGACAGACAGGCTGGCCCTCGACTGGATGAACCTGGCTGCTGCAGCGGGACACCTCAATGCCGCTCGTGTGCTGCATGTTGCTACGACGTCATGCTCTCTTCGGTGCCGTGGACCACGCTGCCACAGTCGTCCACCTCGTTGTCGTCAAGTAACTCACGTGCACCGCCGCGAGGAGGTTGCACTGAGAGCGCGATGGACTTTGCGTCGACAAACGGCGATCTGGCCGTCGTCAAGGACCCGGTCATCTAGATGCCGTCTGTTTTATGAACAGCGAGCAGAAGGCACATCTCCAAACGCTTTCGTCGACGCCGCCATCAACAGCCATCTCAACGTTGAGCCCTTCCTACTGTCTATCGGTCGGACGGCTGTGGCTAGGATGCCGCGGACCGTGTGGCCGGCAAGGGCCACTTGGCGATTCTTCGCACGTTGCATGTCGCCGGAGCATGACTCGGGTTGTCTACAGCAATGATGGGCAATGTAGCACCTGGTGGTCACGTGGAGTGGTGCAGTTCTAACATCAGCATCTACTGGAGGGCTCGTCCGATCCGATGCAGCGTTGTTGCGAATAGCTGAAGGACATTTTGAAGTGGTGAAGTTCTTGCACGAGTCCTGCACACATGGCGATCGCGCAGCACCCTCATGCATCGAGCGGCGTGAGGTGGTCTTGGCCACATCGTGGCGACCTTGCAAGGCAAACCAAAGCACGACGACAATGATGGTGGCTTCTACGGCGAGCTCTAACGACTGAAGCTCGCACACAGGCCGCTGCTTGTGTAGCCAAGGCAATGTCGGCGAGTGTGGCACCATGGTCGTTCGCAGATGTCGTGTGCCGCATTGTTGAAAAGTCGTGGTGAGCGGACGGTTTCATTGCCAGGATATATTTTATTACTATAAACTTCAAGTGAATTAAATCCAAAATGAAATCGAACATTACCATGTTGGAGGCAAAAGTCGGCACAACGAGTTTGGGTAGCGAAGCCGTTGTCGACGCCGTCCATGGACGATTCAAGCAATGCCATGGAGCTCAAGCTGCAGCAGAATCTGCTCAAGCAGCACGAGAACTACGCCCGGCAAAAGGAACTCCTCCAGAAACTCAAGATGCAGAGCGAGGCCACGGCGCGCAACTTGAGTATGCCATTGCTATCGAAATCACCCGTGGTCGCGCCGTCATCCTTACACGAAGCATCGCTTCCCAGTCCCGTGAACCGAGACAAGATGTTTCACGCGGCTGCGCCGTCGCCCCGACCGCTGTCATCGTCCTTGATTGAGTTGGCCAAAGACGATCAGCGCATCCAAGACATCTACTCACAGGAGCTCGTCAACGATGGACTGCGCAAGCAGCTCGAGCTCATTCGACGGCTCGAAAGCGACAACTCCCGCCTTCGTTCAGAGACGGGCACCTTGCGCACACAAGTGACGCTACTCGAAGATCGATCGAAGCTCAAGGAGCGCGAACTCGCGCGTCAAGCTGCAGACCTCGAAGACTCAACGAACCAACTCATGGACTTGCGTCAAGACCACCATAATGCATTGCAACAGGGGCAAGAGACTCAGCATGCGTTGGCCAAGGTGACGCGAGTGAAGGATGCTCTGGAGGAGGAGCTGCGCGCTGCGCTGGACTCCCAACGGCGGCTTCACGAACGTAGCCACGTCGTCGAAAGAGAAGTTGACGAGGCAAAGGGTCGGGAGGCTGCATTACTCGCCCACACCAAGGCTCTGGAAGCCACGCTGGCCAAGCATGAAGCCACGATTCGGGATTTGCAGCACGACACCCTCAAACTACAGGAAACGCTCGCACAGAAGTCAGACCAGTGCACAGCGGTACAGGCGTCGGCTACGTCGTGCGTCGAGCACATCGAAGCCAACTTGAAAGCCGTGCAGGACAACTTGGCTCGCGAATCGGACAAGCGGCGGACGTGGGAGGCTGCGTGCCACACGCTCGAAGCCGAGGTCGAGTCGCTGAAAGCCAATGACCTTGTGGTGAGGCAAACCCTCGACTCGGTGCGGGATCTTCGGGATCGCAATGCCGCACTGGAAGAGAAGCAGCCATACTACCATCAGCTCGAGCTCGACAACAAGGATATGCACGCCAAGCTGCTCTTGGCCCAGCGCGACCGCGAAGAGCACGAACGCCTCGTCGTCCAGATGAAGCACGGGATTTGGCAGACAACTAGCGTGCTCAAGAAGGAGTTCGAGGCGGTGCGGGCGTACGTCGCGTCGATGGAAGAGGAGGAAGGGATAATGGTCGAAGACGTTGACGTCCAAGTCACGTCGTGGCACGAGTGTCCATCGGAAGTCCAGGTAGAACTCGTAGTCATCTGTGCGATTGTGCGCTAACCTATCCACTAGACTCTGCGCAGCGTACTCCACCACTTCAAGCACGACTTGGTGCACTTGAGCAAACGGATGGTCGAGGGGCGCGAGAAGGAACAAACACTCAAAGCAGAATGCAACCACTTGCAGCAAAAGCTCGTGGCGCTTCGACAAGACATGAAGGAACTGGAACGGCAATTGGAGAAACAGAAGGAGCTTTATGCGATTGCCGAGTCGGCCCGAGAAATGTCGACTCGGGAGAAGCGCGACCTCCTCCTTTGGAGCCGCGCAACGTGCCAGAAGACGGAGCGCATGGCGAGCGAAGTCGACCAGTGGGAGCAGTTCACCATCCAACAAGTGCATCGCATGCACCGACTGCCGTGGCAAGAGGTAGCTTGTTCGTTCTTGGCCACTCACACGTGACTATCGCTCCTCCAGACCACCGTCCAGATCGCGGAGCTCAAGTACACGTCGTACGCGGAGCTGCGGTCATCGTGGGAGCAGGCCCTTCAGTGTGTCTTGCAAGAAGCCCACCAATGCCACGTCAAGTGCAACCAAGAAACCCACCGCGCAAACAAAGAGACGAAGCGAAAGCTCGAGCTCCAGCGCCGTCTCGACGCGGGGGACGCCGAGTGGCAAAAGAAGTGTGCTGAAAAGGACACAGAGATGCAAGCGATGCAGTTGCGCCACACGTCGAGTTTGCAGACGCTACAGGACCAGCACCGATGCCTTGTAAAGGAGAACGACACCCAGATCGCGACGCTGACCCACCAAGTGGAGGACTTGACGGTCAAGTGGAATGCGTGCGAGCACGACCGGCAAATGCTTCGTGACCAGCATGCGATTCTCGAAGCCCAGGTGCGGTGTGTCGCCCAAATCGATAGCTCTCACGTTGTTTGGTGTGTAGGCGCCGTTGTATACGGGCATCGCCCACATGTTTGCCGTGTGCGTGCGGCCCATGGTGCTCCAGATCAGCGAGCTCCAGACGCAGAAACGAATCCTGACCCACCAGCTCGGACAGATGTATGCTCAGCAAAAGGAAATGGACCAAATTGCAGCGCTCTTTCACTCGACAGAGCTCAAGAAGCCTCTTAAAGTCACGTTTCGCGCAGCGGCGCTCGCAGTGTTTGCGTCCAACCGCCTGCGCAACACCAGTCGGCAGTACGGGCGCAACGAAGCGCTCGGGCTCGTCTTTCCCCAGCAAATTGGAGTTGTCAAGCTCTTGCCCCTCTCAAGTGTTCAGTACACAACGCAGGTACGGCGGTGGTTGCTTGGGGGAAGGCGAACGCACATGTCGTTTTGTAGACGCTGCTCCAACTCGAAAACAACAACTTTGTTGAGAAATGGACGCGGCTAGCCCACGACACGTCATCGCTGGGGGGGCTCCCGACGGGGCAAAAGCGTCCTGGCACGTATAGCCACTCGGGCGTTGGGGAGTTGGTCCTGTCGACGCTTGCGGCGATCGATCCGTCTGGCGAGTGCGTCGTCACCAACACGCTGCAGGGCCACGCGAGCTTTCTCTGCGACCTGCATCCCGTCCGCGCCAACGACAAGAAACTTACCGTCGACGTCCACCGCATTCGCCGCGAGGTGGTCGAGTGGATGAAGAAGGTGGAAAACTTGCAATTCCAGCGCACGGCGCTGCAAAAAGAAAACTACGCGCTGCAATCGCAGATCCATGAAAAGGACTTTGAGCTCCGGGAAATGCACGTGCTAAGCGCCAATGCCCAAGAGCTCCAGGAGAAGCTCGCGATGTACCAAACCCAAGATGGCCACGGTATCACGCTGCGCGAATTTGAAGCGTGTGTCGCCGCGTGCAAGGAAGCGGAAGCACGGTGTGATGCGTACGTGGCCGAGCTCGACGAGAAGAAGCAGCTCGCAAAGGAGCTGCAGTCCCAACTCGACGTCACGACGGGTCGAAACAAGTTGGTCGAAGAGCAGTTGGACACAACGCGGCAAGCGCTGCTGGAAGAAGAGGAGGCGGTTGTGTCGCTGAAGAGCGTTGTCGCTCGGTACGAAGGCGAGATGCGCCAGCTCACGCAGGCCGCGCACAGCGTCCAGTCGCAGTTCCAGCAGCGATGCACCGAACTCGAGAGCGACAAACTCGAACTGAACGCGCTGTCGGCACTCCTCCACGAAACGCAGCGGAAAAACCAATCGTTGGAGGACGAGCTCGACCAGATGCACCAAGAAATCAAGGCCAAGTCAGGTCAAAGCCACAAACTCGTGAGCAGCAGCCACCGTTCTCGAGCTGGGTCAGAGCACAGCATCCGCCCAAGCGAAACCTACTCACCGCACGACCGCCACGCGTCCAAGGTGCACGAGTCCGTGGGGGATCGGCCGCTTCGCTCGTCTGCGCTGTCGTCGCTTCATCCCGCTGCCATCGAGTACAAAGACGTGCCGCATACCCTGAGGGCGTCCCACGCGACTTCGTCCCGCGACAAGATGCACGTCGCCGACTTGGAATCGAACGACGACACGGACAACATGGACATCGACAAGGTGCACCTCGCCGTCCATAGCTACATGAATCGGATCGACATGAAGCTCCAGTCCATGTATGGCATCCCAGGATCGGACAAGTGGAAACAGTACAAGTTTAGCGAACACACGTAAATGATATAGCAACGGTAGTGGTTTCGATTACAGAGTCGAGGCGGCGTCGGCACGGCGCTGTCGGCGGCACGTCAAAAAGATGCCAATGCCCTCGACATGCGTCGACACGGCATAGCCGTTGGCCGCATGTGCTTGAACAAACCGCTTGAGCTCGGCGGCCGAGAACCAATGCGACTCGTACTTGGACGACGGCACCCAAAGGTCGCTCGTGGTGAAGTCGCACATGTCGAGGGTCACGTTGTCCCCCACGAGCGCCGGGTTCTTCATGTAGTATTCATGGACGCCGCGGCGGAAGCTCTCGCTGTGCCAGCACCCGATGACGACAACACCGTCGTCGCCGGCAACGTCGATCATTTGATCAATCACGCCTTGGCGAATCGCTTCTGGGAGAATTCCAAACGTGTTCATGAGAATAGCCACGACGCGGGTCGACGTCCAAAAGTCCGCCGGCATGGTCCGCTTCAGGATCGCTTCCAGCTCCAACGCGTTGCCTTCAATCAGGTAGTTGCGCGGATGCGCATGCATCGCAGGGTGGATGTCTTTCGCCAACTCGATCATGACCGGGTTGATTTCGACGCCGACCGTGTACGCCATGCGCTCAAAGAGCACCGACCCCATCTCGGACGTCCCGCACCCGACCTCGACGTACGAAGTGGGGCGATCCAGCGCCATCAGCGACGCAATGTACGCCTTCTGCGCCGTGTACAGCTCCGTCATGATCGCACACTTGCCAGTGTAGACAGAATCCCGCCAGATGAGCGGCATCTTCCGGTCCGACCAGACCGCCACAACGCTCTCTTCCGACGAATCGGCCAATGCAAACGACACCTTCGACACGACCGCAACATTCGCGTCGACGTCCACGTGCTTCGATTGAACGACTTGCTCGAGGAGCGCAACGCCGTGGCCACTCGTCACGGCAAAGATCGCGTCGCGCGCCAGCTTGGCCACGGCGCTGACCAACTGGCGGACATCGTCGATGTCCATCTCGGTCACGTCGATGTTGCTCCACACGACGTCGAATGGTGCCGACACACTGTACGTGAGGGGATTGCCTCGCTCAAACGACGCGTTCGGTGCGGCCCACTGCTGGCCTTTGCTGTCGACGACGTGGACGCGTCCGGCGCGTGCGAGGATCGTGGGCATAACACGGACGTTGCCAGCGTTCAGGACGACCACCGACTTGGCAGCGACGTACGTTTGAATTGCGTCCATGTAGTGTCCGAGCGGATCCGAAAATGACGGAGCGAGCCCGGCAAGAACAGTCGCATGATGCGATGTATTTATACTCGGCCGTTGGCTGGTCGACTGGCCAATTGCCAGCGCCGACGCCAGACGAATTGACGACATGTGGACTCCGCAACTTCAACATGTCGGCGGCAGGCCCGACTCGAGGCGTCGCGTATGCGACATGGTGGATGTGGCAATATCCCCGTGGACGGGGGAGGATTCGTCGCCGTTCGTGGGAAGACGAACGAAGCTGCATGCGAGAGCGGCGAGAGAGAACGGAGCCGTGGCGCGATTGTGGCAAGGCCATCTCGCGTCGACATCGTGGATTTTTCCATGGCCAATCATGGCCCCGGGTTTGTAAATCCAACTTGAATGGGATGAGAATCTCTGAGTTGACGTTGAAGTGTTCTCGGTCGCCGCCAAGAGGCGCTGCCCACCCATGCATTCGCAGCTGGCGCGTGCCTCCATCAATCGGCACAGATGCAGGGGGGTTGCCTGGATGGGCGATGCGGCGGTTCGTGTGGGACGTCCATCTTGTTATGGCGCTTGTACACGATCTGTAGTCCAGTAGTGCGAGTGCATTCTAGAACGATGTAGAATACAGGGTGGCGAGTTGGATGCGGAGGACGAGCAGAAGTGGTCTCTGTACATGAAGTGTGGTGGAGTCGCCTGGCCGCAACGATCCCTAAGCACATTGACAACTGCAGTGTTCAAGCAGCCCTCACTCTCTACGCAAGTGCGTCTCCCAGGGATATGAATTGCCCGCTCGACACGCGGCAGAGTCGTTTATGCCTTGACCATGTAACCCTCAACAAGGCAGGTATTTGCCCGAGGATTCGCACGGCGACAGCGCCACCGCGACAGGGGAACGTCCCTGTGTCCCAACAAACCGAGATGTGCTCCTACACGACTTCTCTTCACGACGTTCGGGAAACCTTCCTTCGTCACGCATCAGTCGAAGGGAACGATCATCCATCATGGACGCATGCGGACGACGACGGCAGAGTGGGAAAGTTGTCCAAGACAATATCATCTCGATGCTGGCATGGTTCGGTGATTCCTAGGCACTCAATCATCTCCCGCAACTGTCGACAGCCGTGTTAGCCATCGGCTCATTCCAGCATGTTCACTAGCATCCGTGTAGTATCGCATGGACCCGAGACTTCGCGTCGCTTGCGCGCGGAACGGCGCCATCGTCGTCGACTCCCCTTGTTACCCATGTCGATCGCAGCCAGTACCACAACGAGACACATTTGATTGGTCAAAATGCAAATATTGCTCCGTGATTGGGTGAATAACGGACTTAATCGAATTCTCCCCTACTTCACCCGGATTCGCACTTGAGGTGATTCTACTGTAAAGTACGAATCGAACTTAACGCGTGGATACGGTTGTCAATTGTGCGCGACGGCACGACAGTCCCGCGGCCGCCGTCGCACGTTCATCTGGATTCTGGCACGATGAAGCTCACGTGGCTAGCGTCGTTGGCGTTGGCGGCCGTCGCTGCGTACGACGCGTGCTTCGACGAGGATGAGAAGGTTCATTACCGCCACGGCTCGATCAAGTATATGCGTGGCACCCCTGGGTACGCAGGCGCCATCTACAAAGTTTGCGAAGACGGCGTTTACCACTGCAAAGTCAGCGACGAAATCCTGGACCAGCCGGCGCTTCCCGATGTAGACTGTGATGAAGCACTGGCGGAGTACGACATCTCGCACGACCCGAGCGTCGATATGGGCCGACGTTTGGGGTTAATGGTGCATCCACCCGCGGCTGAAGTGTGGCCAGCCGGCGTCGTGTGCTATGCATTGTCGGATCAGGCTGACCCAGCCATCAAACCATACCTGGAAGCCGCGGTGACGGAATATCGCACCAAGACGCCGATCCGCATCATCTCGGTCGACCAATGCCGGGCCGTCAATATGCCCACGTTGTGCGGAAATTGCAAGAACTTTGCCCTTATCGAGGACTCCAAGCCCGGATGCTTTGCCTTCGTCGGATACGAAGGCAAACCAAACCAAGTGATCAACCTCCATCAAGATTGCTACCTGAACCAGCCCCCTGGCCACGTCCAGCACGAACTTGGCCATGCGATTGGCCTCTTCCACGAGCATGCCCATCCCGACCGCAAGATTATCATCGTCGAGGACGCGCTAAAGGCATCGCGCAACAACTACGTCAAGAAGCGCGACAGCCTCACGACAACGTACGACATGGAATCCATCATGCACTATGGCGCGTCAGGCGGCGTGTGTGTCCCCAAAGACCTCACGGTCAAGTACTGCGACATTGACGAGAGCCACGAAAAGACGGGGTGTGTCATCCCGACCCTCAACGACTGCGACGAGACGGCGTCGTTGCGGCTCGGACAGCGCGAGGGCCTCAGTCCCACAGACATCCAGAGCATCCTCACTCTGTACAAACACACGTCCAACGAAGCCAAAGCTCTGGATCGCCTCCTGTTTCCGTCGCAAGCGAACGCGGTGGACGAACAGGACGAGTCGGAC